TCTGCAGTGGGTCCCCAGAAGCAGTGCCCTGGATACCAAGAGCCTGCTGTAATCAAATCTTCAGCTCAGACTTCTCTCCTGGACTCTGGCCTTATAACTGGACATAACCATCCTGTGTTTCACAGCCTCTGAACACAGCTGCTCGTAGAGCTTCCTCCCCCCACCTCACTGCTCAAACCAGCCTCAGAGTCTCTCTTGTCCTCTCCTGCACCTGGTCTATCTTGCTAAATTGTATTTTTCTACCTCCAAGATCCAGTGCCTTGGAGGTCTGTCTCTCTCCATCTCTACTTCCCCTGCCTCTATTGGCCTAGGTCACTGAAAACACCTCAATTTGTAGATGTAACAATTATGTTAGTTACTTCAACTTCTTACCACTATGCTTGAAAAAAAACCCAGATCCTGCCGAGCATGGTGGTGCTCACCTATAATCCCAGCACTCAGGTGGCTGAGGCAGAGGCCAGCCTAAAGTACATAGTTCAAGGTCAGCCTGAACTACATAGTGAAATTCCTGTCTCAAAAACAAACAAAAATATCCAAATCCCAAATCTTTATCATAACCTAGAAAAGCCTACATAGTCCAGTTCTTGACTCTTTCCTCAACTTCATCTTGGCTCTGTCTCCCCTTGCTTACCATAGTCTGTTCACCACTGTCAGATCCCATCCTCCAGGTATGGTCCTTTTTATTCCCTCTGTGAGGCTGGCACATCTGCACTCCCAGCAACTCAGGAGGGCACAGCAGGAGGCTAACTTGAAACTGAGTTTAAAGGGCCAGATTATAGCTGTACTGTATACCTAAAACATACCAATAAACAATGAGAAAAAAAAATAAAGAGCTAGATTGGACAACATATGAGCCCTGTCTGTCACCATGTAGTTTAAGCTGGTCTTGAACTCACTATGTATCCCAGGCTAGACTTGAACTGCCAGTGATCCTCCGGTCTCAGCCTCAAGTGCTGGGATTACACGTGTGCACCACCACACCTGACTTTTTTTTTATGAAACTGGGAATTGAATCCAGAATCTTTGCACTGAGGCATAGCCCCAGACCCCACTCCCTTTCTGTAGAGACAAGGTCAATTTAGGCTAAATTTGCCCACATGAGATTTGAACTTGTGATCCTTCTGCCTCAGCCTCTCAAAGTGTTGGGATTACAAGCATGTGTCACCATTCCTGGTGTGACTTCTTTTGAAAAAAAATTTAATTCCCGATACTAGAACACTTTACCTTCCTACTCTACTGTCTAGCTTTATGTTTTGTGATAGTCTATGCACTTCAGGCTGGCCTTGAACTCACTATGTAACCCAGGCTGGTCTAAAATTTATGGCACTACTCCTGCCTTAGCCTCCTAAGTGCTAAGATCACAGGTGTGCTCCACCATGCCTGGCTAGCCCAGCTAACTTCTACTGGCTCTCCAGGTCTCAATGTGGTGGTTTGTGCCTGTTTTGTCAGCAGTGAGGAAGAAGAAGGAATGCAAATTCCAGGTCAGCCTGGGCTACAACGTGAGACTATGTCTCAAAGAACAATCAACAAATACAGTAGTTTTTCCTTATCCTCAAGGGTTACATTTCAAGATAGATGTAGTGGTGCGCACTTATAATCCCAGCAGGCAGGAGGCCCAAGGATCTCTGCAAGTTTGAGGCCAGCCTGAACTACAGTGAGACTCTGTCTCAGAAAACAAAAAGTTTAATTTATGAATCAAGCTTCTTATTTTGAGACAGGGTCTTGCCATGTAATTCAGGCTGACCTGGAATTTGCAGCAATCCTCCTGCCTCAGCCTCTCAAGTGCTGGGATTACAGGCGTGCACCACCATTCCGGACATATTATTTGAGGTGGTACTGGGGATTGAATACTGAACTACATCCATAGCCCTTCTATATTTTGAGACAGAGTTCCCTAAATTGCTGACTCAAACTTGTGACTTCCTCCTTGTGATCTTCAAATTTGTAATCCCGGAGTACTGGGATTACAGGCATGTGCCACCACATCTGGCAAATGTTAGTAAAAATTAACCAAAAAGAACAATTATAACAATATACCCTATTAAAAGTTATGTGAATGTTCTCCCTCCTCTTCTTTCATGTGTGACAAGCCACTGGGCCTGGTCAGCTTCTGGGTCATGAGGAACATACTGGGTACACCACAGCATGCTAAATTGCTGAGAGGCTGCATAGGTGTAACCCCATGCACTCTCCAGTTCCACTGTTTATCTGGACGTAACCCTGTTACAGTCTTCCTATTCCGTCCTGCTCCTCCAGCTTCCCCAGCCCCTGCCATCCACACGGCCATCCTGGGTACTTCTGAAGAAAGTTTTCCGAATGTGGGAAACACTCAGTGCTGCCAGCTCCTCCAGTCAACTGATTGCCCTGTCCTCTGTGCTTGTAGAAATACTGAACCCGCCTGTTATGGAAGGGACCATTCACTGCCCACAGTGCAGCCTTTTCCGCTAACGGGGCCATGCCAGGCTCTGGGTGCTCAGACGCAAACATCACTTGCTCCGTCCTCTCTGGTTGCCAGCAGCACTGACAGGGAGCCCCGTAGGCTAGGGGTTGTAGTGGATGCTTGGCACAGCGTTCTCTGTGCTGTGTGCCTTAACATTCTGGGAATGGCACACATACTTTACCTCCCTGAAATGAGTCTACTTCAACACATGGAATTTTTTTTTTTTTTTTTTTTTTTTGGCTTGAGACAGCCCATGTAGTTAAGGCTGGCCTTGAACTTGCAGTGATTCTCTGGCCTCCCCATTGCAGGGCTTACGGCTTGTGTCACCACACCCAGCTCACACATGTGGCTTTCGAAGCTACTGTCATGCTCTAATTGTATTCAGAAAAGTAAAGGGAGAAAAGTGTGATAATGTAATGGATAATCTCTGTGAAGCCATGAGATAGTTGAAAATTTGTATGTCCTTAGTAAATAGTTTATAAGCTGATATTCAAGTGAACTGAAAACATTTTACATTAACTACTTTGAAATACGAGCTAGGTGTATATATTCATACACATAGGGTCCCCGAGCGCAGCAGACACAAGCACATGCAATTACTTAAACACCTGAGCAGCTTTGTTGCCAGTAATTTTTCCAAAATGGCAAACTACCCTTATAAAACTTCCAAAAAAGTACAATCTTCATTTTTCCATAATAGGTACATTACCAGAAAAATTCAAATATTCATCATAGTACTGAGAGCCCAAATATTTTCTGTTTAGGTATAAAACCAAGTCAGCCAGTTCTTAGCTCCACTCATTACAAGCGGCCTATGGTTTGGGGACTCACTCTTGTCCTGGGGACACTGACACAAGCCTGACTGCAGATTCCTGGAACAGACCTCAAATCTTTGGGGCAACTACAGCAGCCGTGAGGGTCAGTGCAACCCCCAGTGAAAGCTCTGGCCTAGCAGTGCTGTGTTCTGGTTCTTGCTTGGGAATGGACAAGCTGGAGCCCATGGAGTGGAGGCCAGAGAAATGTGCAGATCAAGCAATCTGAGACTGTTCCTTACAAGATGCAGAGTTTGGTCTGGTAGGACACGGGTTGTGCTTTTCAGGAGTACCATGGTTTGTTTGTTTTTGAGAAAGGATCTCGCTATGTAGTGAAACTGACCTGCACCTCACTATGTAGCCCAGGCTGGTCTCAAATTCACAGCAATCCTCTTGTCTCAGCCTCCAAAGGGCTGGGATTCCAGGCCTGCGCCACCACACCTGGTTTAGGAATACCATGTTTTAAAGACCAGGGAAGCTAGCTACATACAGCTGTGCATGCCTATAATCCCAGCATTTGGGAGGCTGAGATAGGAGGATCACCACAAGTTACATAGAAGACCAGCCTGAACTACATAGTGAGAACTTGTCTTGAATAAACAAAAAGAGCAAGGTATAATCCCAGCACTGGGTTCCATAGATTATGTGTAGTCAATCTATTCTCAATTTCCAATGTGTTTATCTGGACATGAACCCATTGGCACATGCCTGTCATCCCACCTGTCTGTGAGGCTGAGGCAATAAGATCATAAGTTCAAGGCCAGCGTGGGCAACTGAGGAGATGCTGTATCAAGCACTGTCCCAGTGTCTGTGGGACCCAGGATTCCGACGCAGCCCTGAACCCCATTCATTCATTCCTTCCTTTCGCCACAGGTCCCCCTCTTCCCCTTAGAGCTCAAGAAGAGCAGCCACACTAAGGCTTGCAGCCTCCTAGACTCTCATCCCAGTGTTCAGGCTCCTCTTGTGGACTTGATGGAGAAGATAAGAGGCCCCGAGTTCCCACCTCCTGCAGTGGCCCACTGTCCTTCCCCTGCCTTTTCATTCAGACTAGAATTGAGCACCACCTGTGTTCCTTAGTTTAGAGCAGCCCCTTCTCCCCTCGCTCAATCCCTCTTGGTCTCTCTCTAGCCCCCATGCCTTTCCTGGTCACTATCCATGACACAGTGGACTTGCTGACCTTGTTCTCATAGGGGATTGGACCTGCTCCTTCCTCTTCCACTTCTGTTTTTGTGTGTGTGTGTGTGTGTGACAGGGTCTCACTATGTAGTTGAGACTGACCTGGGAATCACTATGTAACCCAGGCTGGTCTCGAACTCATAGCGATCCTCCTGCCTCAGCCTTCCAAGTGCTGGGATTACAGGCGTGCACCACCACACCTGGCTCTCCCACTTCTCGGTGACCCAGCTGTCTTCTTTCAGCTGTCGGTGCCTACCTCTTATTCATCTACTTCCTCTTTGTCCATTCCTTAGGACTCAACTCAAAAGCTACTGTCTCACTGCTTGGAAGCCAGTTCTTTATTTAAAAACTAATGACAGAACTTGCCTTTACACAAACTGGGCCTTACGATAATTAAATCTTGAGAGGAAGGAGGGAGATGAGGGGTGGAAAAAAGGGTGAGAATAAAAATAAGGCATGAGGGGGCAGATGTTGGTGTTCATTACACTACATTTTCTGACTGAAATTTTCAAATATGCACAAAGTCAAACAATGCACAAGGCCCTGGGTTTGACATCTGGCACTGTAGAAACCAACCAACAAACAAAACACACACAAAGATCAAACAGGGCTGGAGATGCAGCTCAGTTGTGGACTATGCTTAGCATGCCTGAAGCTCAATCCCTAGCACCACACACATAATGAAGGCCGCAGTTCCCTGAACTGAAGGCCTTCTCCAGGGCTTCCTCTCCTCCTGACCGCGGGTCCTCAAAGGGCCTGTCTTCTGAGCCTTGCTGGGTCCCCAGCAGCCCTCAGTGGATGCTAACTGTGTACGAGTGGTGGCGCTAGCTACGAGCCAGCATCTCCTCTGATCTTCGTAAGCTGGGAACACAGAAGTCAGGCCCGGATCCGAAAAGGAATGAAAGGCACAGACACACCCGTCCCCATGACTGCACGCTAGCAACTGCCCTGTTGCCGTGGGAGCCACCCACACTTCCGGAGGCCCTCATTCCACCTTTGGAGCTGAACTATACTCCTGTCCTGAGCCCACCTCGAGCACCCCCCACGCAGACACGCACACGCACGCAAACACAAGCACGCAGAGGCTGCTGTTGGAAAGTTTAATAAGGCACGGCCGATGACTCTTGTTTCTTACAGGTCAAAGAGGAAGGGCATCACATCTGTAAGAAAATAAAAAAGTTCAAGGGAGCGTGTACTTCGCAACCGCTGTCCCCACATCTGGAATGCTCTCTTTTAGCAGGCCATTTACTTCCCCTTACTGGATGCTCACACACCACCTCTTCTGAGGCTCCCTGAACAGCACCCGGGAAAAGGAGAAAGTCGCTTTTGCATGTGACACCTCTTGTGGGCCAGCAGTGCCTCGTGTTCCCACTTCCCCCAAGCCCTGGCACATCAAGGCTCATGCTAAGGAGAGCAGTTTCAGCTCTACCGGCATCACCAGCGGGGCCTAGACCACTGCTGCCCCCCTTCCCCTAGAGCAGGGCCCAGGCTGGTAGCCTCAGTTTTGGGCCCTTGGGTCCCCCCTTGGGCCCACGCGTGACAAGACATCACACCTGGCTGGCTCATGCACTGCTGGATACTTTCCAGCCGAGTGGAAGCCAAGGCGCGGGCCTCCTCCGCAAAGCGGCGGCGTCCCTCCTCAGTCAACTTCCAGAGGCAGGATCGAGGCCGGGGGCTGGCCTCCCCCTGCATACTGACCGGCACTTTCTGAAAGCTGTCTCGAAAACAGAGATTGTGACGGATTGTATTCTTCCAGCCTTCTGGAGCAGTCCGGAAGAAAGGGAAGTGCTGTCTGTGGACAGGGAGGAAAGGTAAGGCAAGGCAAGCTTTCTGTGAAGGCCCCACTCCCGAGCCAGCTGTGCCCCAGGGGCCAGGAGCCTCAGATCTCTCAAGGTGGCTAAGGCTAAGTCAGACTGGCACTGCATTTTGCTGACAGCACACATGACAAACTTCCCCACTGTGCGCTGCTTATGAGACTGCCTCTCCCAATTTTGGAGACTGAACCCTGGACCTTCACACTGAACTCCATCCCCCAGCCTCTTTTAAATTTTGAGACAGAATCTTGCTAAATTGCCCAGGCTCCAATTTAGAAGCATCCTGCTTTAGCCTCCCAGAGTGCTAAGATTAAACGCCTGCCCACCTCCAGCCGAAAATCTTTTTAAATTTTTTTTTTTAATTTTTGGGACAGGGTCTTGCTATGTATTTCAGGCTGGCCTTGAACTCACTGTATATAGCTCAGGCTGGCCTCCAGTTCCTAGTGATCCTCCTGCCTCAGCTTCCACTGCTACCATGCCCAGCCCTATTTTATTTTTTTAAAAAAAGGATCTCACTTTGTAGATCAGGCTGCTGGCCTAGGACTGACTATGTAGTGCAGACAGGAAGTGCCACCACTCCCAGCACTATTCTTTTTAAAACTCACCTCACTGCTCCCAGACAGAAACCAAGCAGAATCAGGCCTCTGGTCAAGGGACCATACCATTGGAGGATTAATAATCTGAGACAATAGTCAGGCGTGGTAGCACATGCCTGTAATCCCAGCACTTGGGAGGCTGAGGCAGGAGGATGCTGTGTTTGAGACCAGCCTGGGCTACAAAGTGAGTTCTAGGTCAGTCTCAACTACATAGTGAGGCCCCATCTCAAAAAACAAAAACAAAACAAACAAAAAATCTGAGACATTGGGCTCTTCTCCATTCCAATCCTGGTAAAGGGCCCAGGAAATTCTCTCTCTCAGGTACCTGACTATCAAAGCTAAATGCAGCACTGGAGGTGACCTCTGTGGCATAGGGCACACTCAGCATGTGCCAGGCCTGGGTTCAATCCCATAGCATGCACGCATGAACCTGTGCACACACAGACAGACAGACAGACACACACACACACACACACACTCACACTAAATGACAGCTCTTCTCGACTGGGCCCCTGACCCCTGGGGTACAGGGAGCTGCGACAGGCAGGACCACAGTAGAAGTGTGGGTGGGACCCTGGTGGGGGAACCAGCATTCATACTGGCTAAGCTTGAGAGGCAGGTGGAAGGAAGTGTTACTGACCCAGGTGAATCTGGTTTCATGAAGGATCCTGTTTATAGGTGGAGAGGCAGACATTGGCCTCGGAGGACACTTGTCCTCAGACTCAGATGGGGAAACTGAGTTGCAGCCCAGGGCCAGAGCAGATGACAAGGCTTCAGACCAGGGCCCAGTCCCCCTCCCATCGCCCTCCTCACAGGGCCCCTGGCACATACCGAGTGAAACTGTAGATCTGTTGCACGTTGAGGCCACAGGGGGGACTGTTGCTTAGTGCCAGGGCAATTAGGTGGAAGTAATTGAGAGGGGGTCGGGACCATAGCCTCCCCTCCAGGCTGATGGTTTGCTGCAGCCTCCGACTCTGGAGGGAGGCCCTTGTGAGAGGGGATAGGAGAGCCACAGAGGAGCTGTCATCCTGGTCCTCAGCCTCCTCCTCTTCTGTGAGCTAGAGGAGCAGAGTAGGAACTGGTCCTGACTCCACAGCCTCCACTCTAAGGTATAGCAGCTTAAGGGGAGTAGTATAAGACCAGATGGGCTTCTCCCCAACCCAAGGGGCCTGCTCACTTCTGCACACATTAACCTTTAGCTGTCCCTAGGAAATCCCAACACTGATGCTTTGTTCCTGTACCCGCCTTGCCTATTGCCCAGGCTGGCTTACAGGCCAGCGATCCATACCTCCCTGTCACCAGGGGGAAAGGCGAGCCACTTCCACTTCTGAGGGGGCAACTGTTCCTTGCAGGAGGGCAGCATCGAGTCCACCCCTGCACCCTCTGAGCCACTGGCATCTTGCTTTTCCAGGGATGGCTGAGGGCAGGGGGGCTCGCTTGTCACATCTGCTTTCTTTGTAGGATCTCTGACCTCCAGCTTGCCGGAAGGGTACACAATATTGGGATTTACCCACATCCACAGGTTGGGTTCAGTCTCCGGACCTGCATGGAGCAAAAGGAGATGGGCCACAGTTCACTGGCTTTGAGTGTCCCTGGTACACCCAGCCCAGCACACACAACCAAATCAGAGGACTTCCTCACTACTCACCATCTCCATCAGGGTTGGGTTTCTTTTCCAGAGGCAATACAGGTGGATGAGTTATTCGGAGTTTATATTTGGCAACTGGTGAAAAGAAGAGAGTCAAAATATAACATACTATATTAACAGAGCCAAGAAAAACCATATGGACCTCTTAATAGGAGCAGAAAAAGCATTTCACAAGGTTCAACACACATTCATGACAAAAACTCTAGAGAAAATTGAAATAGATGGTCTTTACCTCAATCTGATAAAAGCTATTTACAACAAACATCATACTAAATGGACAAAAACTGAAAGCTTTCACTCTAAAATCAGGAACAAGACAAGGATGTCCGCTGTCAAGAGAAAGAAATAAAACAAAGACAGGAAAGGGAGAAGTTAAATTATCATTATTTGCAGATGACATGATACTCTACATAGAAGACCCCGATAACTCCACTGAAAGACTTCTAGATTTGATAACCAAATTCAGTAGCACAGCTGGATATAAAGTCAACAGTCGAAAATCAATAGCCTGGGTCCAGGGATTGAGCTTGCCTGTCTCTCAAGCTCAAGGTCCTGAGTTCAACCCCTGGTAAGTGTGTGCACGCACACACATGTGTGTGAACTCAATAGCCTTCCTGTACAGGAATAATAAACCCACAGAGAGAAGTTAGGGAAACAACATCTTTCACAATAGCATCCCCCCAACATGAAATACCTAGAAATCAATCTAATGAAAGAAGTAAAAGACCTCTACATTGAAAACCACAGTACCCTGAAAAAAGATATCAAAGAGGATATCAGAAAAAAGAGAGATATTCCATGTTTTTGGATAGGAAAACCAATATAGTGAAAATGGCCATAATTACAAAATTGTTGTACTGTTTCAATGCAATCCCAATCAAAATCCCAAGAGTGTTTCTCACAGAATTAGAAAAAAACAATCCTAAGATTCATTTGGAACCAGAAGAGATCTAGAATAACAAAGGCAGTGCTGGGCAACAAAGGCAAAGCGCGGGTATCACAAGCCCTAACTTTAAATTATACTATAAAGCTATGGTGATTAAAAACAGCATGGTACTGGCATGACCTGAGAGTCAATGGAACAGACTGGAGGATGCAAAAACCACTGCAGACACACTCAACCACCTTTTTTTTTTTTTTTAAATTGGGGATTGACTTGGGACCTTGCAGTTTTGAAGAAGGCACAGTGCCATTGACAAAATCCCCATCCCAAAAGATAGCCTCTTTAATAAATGGTGCTGGAAAAAACTGGCTTTCCACATGCCTGAGATTAAAACTAGACCCGTATCTTTTACCACACACTAGTCTAAAATCGAAACAGATCAAAGATCTAAAAATTAAAACAGAAAACACTAAATCTGCTGGAAGAGAGAATAGGTAGAATGCTTGAGGACATAGGAGTAGGCAAAGACTTCATGAACAAAACCCAGACCACATGGGAAATAGTACATGGAATCAACAACGAGGATCTGATCTTATTAAAAAGCTTTTTCATAGCAAGAGATCCCACCACCAGAGCGAAGAGACAACCAACAGCATGAGAAAAATTTTTTTTTTGGTACCGGGGATCAAACTTGGGACCTTGCGCTTGTGAGGCAGGCAGTGGAACCACTGAGCTAGAAAAAAATTTTTATCAGCTATTCCTTGGACAAAGGACTACCATCTAGAATATATAAAGAACTCAAAAACATCAGACCCCACACACACACATTTAAAGACCCAATCTACCTGCTGACTGCCTCTCAAGGGCAAGGTCCCAAGTTCGATCCTTGACACTCCCCCCAGAAAAAACCCAATCCAAAAATGGACATCTGAAATGAATAGACACTTCCCAGATAAAGAAGTAGAAACAGTAAATAAATATATGAAAAAAGGTTAAACATCACTGGTCATTCAAGAAATGCAAATGAAAACAACACTGAGATTTTACCTCACCCCAGAAAGATTGTCTGTTATCAAGAAACCAACCAATCACAAATGCTGGAGGGGCCATGGTGAAAAAGGAACCCTCCTCCACTGTTGGTGGAGGTGCACAGTACAACCACTGTGGAAATCAGTGTGGAGATTTCTCATAAAAACTAAAACTAGAGGTTCCACTTGACCCAGCTATTCCCCTTCTTGGTATCTTCCTGAATTAAAGGCATCATACAACAGTGATATATGTTTATAGCACGCCCATGTTTCTAGCAGCACAGTTTGTAATGGCTAAATGTTGGAAACAGCCCAAATGCCTAACAACTGACGAGTGGATAAAGATGTGGTTTTTTTAATACAATGGAGTACTACTCTGCTATAAAGAAGGATGAGCTTTAGACATTTTTAGCTAAATGGATGGACCTTGAGACCATACTCTTAAGTGAAATAAATCGGACACACATTTAAATGCCAAATTATTTCTCTGGTGTGAGAAAGTGAAAGTGGAAACAAGGACTGAAATGTGTACTAGATATTGGGAAATGGGAAGGAAATGTTCAAATGAGAAGGGGAACAAGAGAGGAGTGCAGGAGAAAGGAAGGAAGGGATGTGAAAATAGAAGGAAAAATGGAAACAAAACTTTTGTTCATAGGGAGTGGAGGGGGCTAGAGGGGAGGGGCAACTGGGAATAAAGAGGCGGAACGTATCATGTACACGTGCAAAATTCCCTGCAATGAGTGTTATGTATGCCTAAAATGCACCAATAAATGTTTTGATATTTTAAAAAAGAGTCACACTATTATACTATTTCCAATGAGATCGTGGGCCGTGAAACTGTCTTGGGAAAAGATTGTGGATCCTGTTCTACTGGTCTCCCTTCACCTCTTTGTCCTTCTCATTCTCCTCTTCATTTTTTCTTCTTTTCGAGACAGGGTCTTGCCGTGTAGTCCAGGCTGGCCTGAAACTCATGGCAATCATCCTGCCTCAGTTTTTTTTTTTTTTTTGAGTCAGGGTCTCATTATGTAGTTGAGACTGACCTGGAACTCACTATGTAGCCCAGGTTGGTCTCGAACTCACAGCGATCCTCCTGCCTCAGCCTCCTGAGTGCTGGGATTATAGGCGTGCGCCACCACGCCTGGCTTCTCCTGCCTCAATTTTGCAAGTGGTGGGGTTACAGGTGTGCCCACCACTCAGGACCTCTGCATTCCTTTCTTCCCACTTCACACACTTCCCCAAACACTCTCGTGTGCGCCTGTGGCTTCAGTCACCATCTATAAACCCACGCCTTGCAAATCTTTACCTCTAGCTTGGGTTTCTTGGCTAGTCCTTAAGTAGAACTGCCCACTAGCTGACCTCATTTGGGTAGCCTACAAGTATGTCAAACTCAACATTTCTAAAATTAAATTCCATTTTCTTGCTTTTCCCCCTGTATTTCTGGTCTCGGCAGATGGCACCGTCATCCAAACAGATGTTCAGGGCAGTTTTACTACTTCTGCCTCGACTCTGTCCCCATGAGTGTAGTTAGATGACAGAGGAAGCTAGGGATGTGTTGGGAAATGATGATATACTGATGTGAGAGCTCAGTAATCAGGAAAGACCCCATTGCACTGCTAGTGTTAACACAGTAGTATGAGAAAAAGGAAAAAATAGCAAAATATACATAGTTAGAAGCCGGGTGTGGTGGTGCACGCCTGTAATCCCAACACTTGGGAGGCTGAGGCAGGAGGATTGCTGTGAGTTTGAGACCAGCCTGGGCTACACAGTGAGTTCCAGGTCAGTCTCAACTACATAGTAGACCCTGTCTCAAAACAACAACAACAACAACAAAAAAGTTGGAAAAGGAAAAGCTATTATTATTTCCAGAAAAATTATTAAGAGCAGGGCATTGTGGTATATGCATATAATTGCAGTTACCAAGGAAGCCAGCCTGAACAATTAATTTAGTGAGATCCTGCCTCAAATAAAAACGAAAAACAAAAAAGTTTGGGATGTAGCTTGGTCCAATCCCCAGTACTATTTTAAAAAAGCGAGAAAGAAAAAACAATGAACATAAACACAATGTAATATCAATATACAAGTGATTAAAACCAAGAAAAATATATACAGCAACTTTGCTGGATAAGAGAATATATTAATCAATACTGTTCCTCTGTGCAAGCATTAAAACTGGAAATTAACTTTTAAAAAGGTACTGCTTACAATAGCAAGCAAAATTATAAAGTATCTAGGAGTTAACTCATGAGGAATGGACTATACTTTTATGGGGAAGAAAGGAAATCACTTTTAGGGAACATAAAGGACTAGAAACAGGGTGGGGAATGTAGGTCAGTGGTAGTGTTTGCTTAGCATCCACAAAGCAATGGGTTCAATCTTTAGCACCACAAAAAAAAAAAAAGGGGCACAGTGGTACACTCCTGTAATCCCAGCACTCAGTACTTGGGAGGCTGAAGCAGGAAGATTATCAAGAGTTTGAAGCCAGCCCAGGCCACACAGTGACTTGAAGGACAGCTTGAACTACATAGCAAGAGACCTTGTCTCAAACAAAACAAAAAACAAAGTTCTCAGTTCTCTACTATAGAGTTCTTACAAAATCATTAAGTAGGGATGGGGATTTAGCTCAGTGGCACGGTGCCTGCCTGGAAAGCACAAGGTCCTAAGTCTGATCCCTCGTACAAAAAAAATAAATAAATAAAAATAAATAATAATAATAAGTAAATTTAATGAGTGGGCAAAAGATGTGCAGAGCTTTCACAAGGACAGGATCCCTGAATGGCTAATAAGATGCTCAAGCTTACTGCTAACAAACAAACACACAAAAACCACACAGTAAATAACAAAATAACATTTTACATCAACCGAAATGACAATTATAAAAACAGACAATCCCAAGAGTTGGCAAAGATGCAGGGAAACAGAATCCCTGCAAGTCTGAGCATCAGCTGGTACGGGCCCGGAACAGAGCAGTCCCCATGAAGAGTGATGACGAAGGACCACAACTTCCTGGGCCTTCAGCCTACTCCTGGGGGGGGTGTGCATTTAGTCACTCCAGAAACATACAGCTGGGCGTTGTGGTGCGCCCCTGTGATCCCAGCACTGGGGAGGATGAAGCAGAAGGATCGCTGGAGTTGGAGGCCAGCCTGGGCTACATAGGGAGACCCTGT